TGAAAAGCATTTTTGAATTAACATTATATATTTTTAAAATAAAAAAAAAATATATAAAAACTAAAAATCAAAAGACTGAAAAGCATTTTAAAACAAAATTTAAGTCATTTTAACTTAAAAGAAAAAACTTAAAATAGTCTCATTTTTATTTTAAAAACTAAAATTTTTTAATTTTTTAATTTTTTTTAAAAAAACAAAATTTTGTGATATTTTTTACTTAATTTTTTTATAGGTACTGCATATAAACATCTTTCCCTTTAAGTTACTAACTTTCATTATGATTTGTATACTTTGCTGATGGATTGATAGACGAATGCCATTTTTGCGTTATCATTTCATGCAAAGAACATTCTTGGTCTTCTCCCTAAAATTTGCATGCTTTGGCCAACTAACAAATAATCAAACATAATGTATGAGACACTTGCTCCTAACTCATAAATATGAACATTTCCCTTAAAATGGGGAAATCTCGGGCATTATGATAAAGATGGAAAAAAAGTCAAAATAATTTTTTCTTAGCTAAAGGATTTCACAAATGAAAAAGATTGATTTTAACAAAAATTTTATATATTAGTAAGATATTGGTGGAAAGTAAACACTTTTCCATTTTAGATCTTGGTTTCCATATATTAAATCTGTGTTTAGGAATAGTATTCCCTGCAAGAACCGGATGACAATTACGTTTGATTATAAAATATTATTAAATTGATTTCAAAGAAAGCAAGTGGTTTTTAATTGGGGATTAATGTAGTTTAGTGGGCAAATAGTTGTGACCTAAAACCTGTTTGTCTCAGACGGTAACCCTAATTTGATGGTTTGGTTGACAACCTAGAAATTACATAATAGGAAAGATATAAAATAAAAAGACACATAGAACAAATTAATTTTTTATTCAGATTTTGATTGTTGTGTATTTTTGTTATTATTTTTTATGTGTAGAAATTATATTATAAAATAGATATATAAAACAAATTGATTCTAATTATATGGTTGTTATTATTTTAAAATTTAATAATGGAGATATGAAATTTCAGACGTTTGTATCTTATTGCAACAGTCTTTTTTGCCTAAAATATTCAACGAAAAAAGATAGCATCTCAAAACAATAATCTTCTTTGACACAATGCCCACATACCTGCACAAATAGAATTGAAATTGGTAAATTCTTTTGAATAAGAAAACTAATGCATTCAAAAATATACTTCCACATATTTACATCAAAATCAGTGATCTTAGTAGCATTACCATATCCAATTCAAAAGCTTGAAAGAATAATCATGTCAAGAAAGTAGATCGTCTTGTTTTGATCCCAAGGTTATACCAAACGATGTCGTCTAGTTTATCAAGCCTGTGTTCCTCTCTCTTGAATATGCCAAAAGCCAAAGGCAAAGGCAAAGGCAAAGGCAAAGGCAAAGGCAAAGGCAAAAAGAGGGAAACATCACAACCTCATGGAGTGGACTAAATATAGGCTTTTAATGAGCCATATCAGCTCATGGACCTAGCTCACATCCCTCCTTTTAATGGACTATACCATAATATCGGCTCTTAATCCATGAGTCCAATTATAGATTGTTTTGGTTTGATAGTTTTGAGGAGACTGCCATGCCTATCCTGTGACTAGTGAACATGGCTAACATTTATGTGATTTGGCCAATTAAAAATCAATCAAAATGTATGACATGGTAGCTTTTATCTCATATCTGTGAACATTATTTGCTTTAAAATTTTAATGTAAGGAACAAAAATAGCAACGGAGATTTCACAAATTAAAAGTTAATAGCAAAAATATTTTTACATATTTATAAGATGTTGGTGGAAACTTATTATTGTGTTCTTGTATGCAAGTAATTTCTAATTTATAGATTTGGCTTGTAGTTCCCAAAATATTCTTATGGATACCATTATATTTTCTTTTATAATATGTTTCATTGGGCTTACTAGTGTTATTTGAATAGGAAAATACTGTTTTTTTTTTTTTTTATTTATTTTGGCTTAGTTCGTAGTTTGGTTTGTGGTCTAAGAATTGGGTGGTAAAATATGTTAAACCCATTATAATTATTAGAATTTTTGTTGCAAGGGTAGATGTTAAATTATGATAAGTGTTATCTTAAATTCTTGTAGAGATGATTTTGTACGTGAAATACATTATTTTTTTCCATAACCAGAGTAAAAACTTGTAATATTTAAAATTGACTCAAACATAATATTTTTCTATGATTTAAATTTAAAGCAGACCGGTTTTCAAAAACATATTTCATATAGGAGGGTGACATAGGACAATCATTTTATATCACTTTTTAATATAATTTTCACATGTCATTAAATGAGTTAATATATTTAATATCACGAGTTCAACATGAATTAAAATAATCAATCATTTAAATGACACATCAGATTGTATGAAAACCTAATACAAAAAGATTGTCCCAAAATAATTTACCTTTCATGTATTACATCAAATTTAGTAGTTAAGGAAACCCACTTGAAAAGCTTGAAAGGAAAACAACAATCATATGGTGATTTAGTAGGTCACCTCTATCTTGCCACACCAACTCCATCTATACCCCATTTTACCAAAAAAAAAAAAACAAAAACTCCATCTATACCCAGAACTTGAAAAAACTGACATAATTTCTCTAGATAGAACATCCCTCTAAGTTTAATTAGTTTAAGAAGCTTATTGGCTTGTCGAATGCCTTGTGTTCCAATACTTCTCTATCTCCTCAGCTGTTCTCCCAGGAATTCTCCCAGCAATCAGAGACCATCTAAGTAATATTGCCAACAAAATGCAACTTCTTTTAGTATAAGCAAGCATGCCTAGAAAATAATCAGGAAAGGAAGAAGAAGTATGTACCTTTCTCCTACTAACTTAAACATCCTGATTATCAGAGTTTCCTCATCTTCTGAGAAACCAGCTTCAGAATCTCTGCTATTTGTATCCTCTGCAACAACAAACATACCTTAGTGGTCAATTCCAGAGAAGAACTCTTTCTTTTTTATTTTTTATTAAAAAAAAACACCTGTAAGAGTTGGGTTTGAAAATTTGTATAGACCTATCAAAGACCAAGTAATGATTGAGAGAAAGAAAATGGAGAGAAATTAGAATCTTCCTAGAAAGGAAAGACTTGGACTCAATACCTGAAGAGTCCACAGAGGAATTATCACGAGAAGAAGAGTGCTGTTCCAACTCAGCCATTTTTGAATACTCAAGGCACACAACTTGAAGTAGTTGTCAGAGTCGGAGGAAATTGTGAAGGGGGTGATGCTGCTGCCCGCTGGAGTGGGGGTTACTTAATATAGGGTGTTGATTGTGATTCGTGAGTGGGGAAGGAACATTCTCTCTAAAAAGCGATTTTATCATTTTCATCAACGGGGATCGAGGAGGAGAAGAATGGAAGGTGAGAAAGGGACAATGTGTATTGAAGAATGGTAGTTGGAAGTAGAAAAATGTTAAAAGGGGGTAAGTGGAGGAATATGTTAGGTGACATTAATGAGTATCAGTTTCGATTTTAAAAAATAATTAAAATTTTAATTTATATTTAAAAATTAAAATTTTATCTTATTAATTATTAATATTTAAATTTAAAATTTTATTATGTATTTTAATGTATTAATATTTAATAAAATAATTTTTTTAAATTTTAAATTATATTTTAAATAAAATAAAATAATTTAAATTTAAAATTTTTATTATTTTTTAAAATTAAAATTGATATGTACATTTTTGAAAAAATTGAAAAAGGATTTAACAATGAGTTAAAAAAAATGTAGCTTTCCATGACCCTAAATATGCAGCTGTGCATCCCATAAAATCCGAAACATGGTCGGTCTATGAAAAAAGGTATCTAATTTACTCCACATATTCCGTTTCATGGGGACCCACGTTTGTAACACGAGTAGAAAGTGGAATACACTACTCTTAATCTTAAAAGAAGATGTTAGTCCCTCATTGTACGTTAATCTAATGTAATGCCACTTCCTTACAACCACCGTATTGTGTTTAGTAGCACCTTGGGTAGGTTGCATCTTTATTTCTTTTTCTTTTTCTCTTCTTTTTTTTTTCTGATTTTTTTAATAATTAATTTTAGTAGTAATCACTAATCCCCACCCTTTTTCAAAATAATATACATTTTTTAATTTTATTTTCATATTAAGA